AGATAATTTAAATAATGTTGTGAAATGTCCACAGTAAATGCATTAACAAACTATCAATGATAAATCCATTTTGAAAACTCATTTAAAAACAGGTAATAAGAGTTATGTGTTTCCTCTGTTTAAGAAAAGCCTGAACTCCTACATTTTTGTATGTTGTTGGATTTCAGTTGCTAGAAGTAGAAGAAGACTGAACTCAAAAATGTTTTATGTTGGTGGTTTTCAGTTGCTAGAAAATATATCGCCTTAGCAGAGGGTGGTTTCAATCCACAGTCCTCTGGGTTATGGGCCCAGCACGCTCCCGCAGCGCCACTCTGCTGATGGTAAAGATGACAAGACTCAATCACAGAGCTCTTTGTGCAAGAAACTGACGTCATAGCTATCAGACTACTGGGTCCACATGCCGAAATCGCTGCATTGTTCTTTCTGTTAGATAATTTAAATAATGTTGTGAAATGTCCACAGTAAATGCATTAACAAACTATCAATGATAAATCCATTTTGAAAACTCATTTAAAAACAGGTAATAAGAGTTATGTGTTTCCTCTGTTTAAGAAAATGCCTGAACTCCAACATTTTCGTATGGTGTTGGTTTTCAGTTGCTAGAAGTATATCTTCTTAGCAGAGGATGGTTTCGATCCATCGACCTCTGGGTTATGGGCCCAGCACGCTTCCGCTGCGCCACTCTGCTGATGGTAAAGATGCCAAGACTCAATCACAGAGCTCTTTGTGCAAGAAACTGACGTCATAGCTATCAGACTACTGGGACTACATGCCGATATCGCTGCATTGTTCTTTCTGTTAGATAATTTAAATAATGTTGTGAAATGTCCACAGTAAATGCATTAACAAACTATCAATGATAAATCCATTTTGAAAACTCATTTAAAAAAACAGGTAATAAGAGTTATGTGTTTCCTCTGTTTAAGAAGAAGCCTGAACTCCTACATTTTTGTATGTTGTTGGTTTCAGTTGCTAGAAGTAGAAGAAGACTGAACTCCAAAAGTTTTATGTTGATGGTTTTCTTGCTAGAAATATATCGCCTTAGCAGAGGGTGGTTTCAATCCATCGTCCTCTGGGTTATGGGCCCAGCACGCTTCCGCAGCGCCACTCTGCTGATGGTAAAGATGCCAAGACTCAATCACAGAGCTCTTTGTGCAAGAAACTGACGTCATAGCTATCAGACTACTGGGTCCACATGCCGAAATCGCTGCATTGTTCTCTGTTAAATAATTTAAATAATGTTGTGAAATGTCCACAGTAAATGCATTAACAAACTATCAATGATAAATCCATTTTGAAAACTCATTTAAAAACAGGTAATAAGAGTTATGTGTTTCCTCTGTTTAAGAAAAAGCCTGAACTCCTACATTTTCGTATGTTGTTGGTTTCAGTTGCTAGAAGTATAATTCTTAGCAGAGGATGGTTTTGATCCATCGACCTCCACAGGGTTATGGGCCCAGCACGCTTCCGCTGGGCCACTCTGCTGATGGTAAAGATGCCAAGACTCAATCACAGAGCTCTTTTGTGCAAGAAACTGACGTCATAGCTATCAGACTACTGGGACTACATGCCGATATCGCTGCATTGTTCTTTCTGTTAGATAATTTAAATAATGTTGTGAAATGTCCACAGTAAATGCATTAACAAACTATCAATGATAAATCCATTTTGAAAACTCATTTAAAAACAGGTAATAAGAGTTATGTGTTTCCTCTGTTTAAGAAAAGCCTGAACTCCTACATTTTTGTATGTTGTTGGATTTCAGTTGCTAGAAGTAGAAGAAGACTGAACTCCTAAAAAAATTTATGTTGGTGGTTTTCGGTTGCTAGAAATATATCGCCTTAGCAGAGGGTGGTTTCAATCCATCGTCCTCTGGGTTATGGGCCCAGCACGCTTCCGCAGCGCCACTCTGCTGATGGTAAAGATGACAAGACTCAATCACAGAGCTCTTTTGTGCAAGAAACTGACGTCATAGCTATCAGACTACTGGGTCCACATGCTGAAATCGCTGCATTGTTCTTTCTGTTAGATAATTTAAATAATGTTGTGAAATGTCCACAGTAAATGCATTAACAAACTATCAATGATAAATCCATTTTGAAAACTCATTTAAAAAACAGGTAATAAGAGTTATGTGTTTCCTCTTTAAGAAAAAAACCTTAAGAAAAAGAAGAAGACTGAACTCCTAAATTTTGATGTTGGTGATTTTCGGTGCTAGAAGTATATCTTCTTAGCAGAGGGTGGTTTCAATCCATCGACTGGGTTATGGGCCCAGCACGCTTTGCGCCACTCTGCTGATGGTAAAGATGCCAAGACTCAATCACAGAGCTCTTTGTGCAAGAAACTGACGTCATAGCTATCAGACTACTGGGACTACATGCCGATATCGCTGCATTGTTCTTTCTGTTAGATAATTTAAATAATGTTGTGAAATGTCCACAGTAAATGCATTAACAAACTATCAATGATAAATCCATTTTGAAAACTCATTTAAAAACAGGTAATAAGAGTTATGTGTTTCCTCTGTTTAAGAAAAAACCTGAACTCCTACATTTTTGTATTTGTTGGATTTCAGTTGCTAGAAGTGAAGAAGACTGAACTCCTAAATCTTTTATGTTGGTGGTTTTCTAGAAATATATCGCCTTAGCAGAGGGTGGTTTCAATCCATCGTCCTCTGGGTTATGGGCCCAGCACGCCCGCAGCGCCACTCTGCTGATGGTAAAGATGACAAGACTCAATCACAGAGCTCTTTGTGCAAGAAACTGACGTCATAGCTATCAGACTACTGGGACTACATGCCGAAATCGCTGCATTGTTCTTTCTGTTAGATAATTTAAATAATGTTGTGAAATGTCCACAGTAAATGCATTAACAAACTATCAATGATAAATCCATTTTGAAAACTCATTTAAAAAACAGGTAATAAGAGTTATGTGTTTCCTCTGTTTAAGAAAAAACCTGAACTCCAACATTTTCGTATGTTTTGGTTTCAGGTGCTAGAAGTAGAAGAAGACTATCTTCTTAGCATGGTTTCGTTGTTGGGCCCAGCATTTGCTGATGTAATGATGCTACAGAGCTCTTTGTGCAAGAAACTGACGTATAGCTAAGGGACTACATGCCGACTCTTTCTGTTAAATAATTTAAATAATGTTGTGAAATGTCCACAGTAAATGCAAAACTATCAATGATAAATCCATTTTGAAAACAGGTAATAAGAGTTATGTGTTTCCTCTGTTGCTAAGAAAAAGCCTGCTCTCCTACATTTTTGTATGTTGTTGGTTTTCAATTGCTACTGATCCATATCTTCCTTAGGAGTGGTAAACTATCAATGATAAATCATTTTGAAAACTCATTTAAAAAACAGGTAATAAGAGTTATGTGTTTCTGGCCCAGCAGAGGATGGTTTCGATCCATCGACCCTCCGCTGCGCCACTCTGCTGATGGTAAAGATGACAAGACTCAATCACAGAGCTCTTTGTGCAAGAAACTGACGTCATAGCTATCAGACTACTGGGACTACATGCCGATATCGCTGCATTGTTCTTTCTGTTAGATAATTTAAATAATGTTGTGAAATGTCCACAGTAAATGCATTAACAAACTATCAATGATAAATCCATTTTGAAAACTCATTTAAAAAACAGGTAATAAGAGTTATGTGTTTCCTCTGTTTAAGAAAAAGCCTGAACTCCTACATTTTTGTATGTTGTTGGATTTCAGTTGCTAGAAGTATATCTAAATCTTTTGAGCAGAGGATGGTTTCAGAGCGTCCATCGACCTCTGGGTTATGGGCCCAGCACGCTTCCGCTGCGCCACTCTGCTGATGAAAGATGCCAAGACTCAATCACAGAGCTCTTTGTGCAAGAAACTGACGTCATAGCTATCAGACTACTGGGACTACATGCCGATATCGCTGCATTGTTCTTTCTGTTAGATAATTTAAATAATGTTGTGAAATGTCCACAGTAAATGCATTAACAAACTATCAATGATAAATCCATTTTGAAAACTCATTTAAAAACAGGTAATAAGAGTTATGTGTTTCTCTGTTTAAGAAAAAAGCCTGAACTCCTACATTTTCGTATGTTGTTGGTTTTCAGTTGCTAGAAGTATATCTTCTTAGCAGAGGATGGTTTCGATCCATCGACCTCTGGGTTATGGGCCCAGCACGCTTCCGCTGCGCCACTCTGCTGATGGTAAAGATGCCAAGACTCAATCACAGAGCTCTTTGTGCAAGAAACTGACGTCATAGCTATCAGACTACTGGGACCACATGCTGAAATCGCTGCATTGTTCACTCTGTTAAATAATTTAAATAATGTTGTGAAATGTCCACAGTAAATGCATTAACAAACTATCAATGATAAATCCATTTTGAAAACTCATTTAAAAAAAAACAGGTAATAAGAGTTATGTGTTTCCTCTGTTTAAGAAAAGCCTGAACTCCTAAGATTTTTGTATGTTGGTTTTCAGTTGCTAGAAGTATATCTTCTTAGCAGAGGATGGTTTCGATCCATCGACCTCTGGGTTATGGGCCCAGCACGCTTCCGCAGCCACTCTGCTGATGGTAAAGATGCCAAGACTCAATCACAGAGCTCTTTGTGCAAGAAACTGACGTCATAGCTATCAGACTACTGGGAATACATGCCGATATCGCTGCATTGTTCTTTCTGTTAGATAATTTAAATAATGTTGTGAAATGTCCACAGTAAATGCATTAACAAACTATCAATGATAAATCCATTTTGAAAACTCATTTAAAAACAGGTAATAGAGTTATGTGTTTCCTCTGTTTAAGAAAAACCTGAACTCCTACATTTTTGTATGTTGTTGGATTTCAGTTGCTAGAAGTAGAAGAAGACTGAACTCCAAAAAAAAAATTTTGATGTTGGTGGTTTTCGGTTGCTAGAAATATATCGCCTTAGCAGAGGGTGGTTTCAATCCATCGTCCTCTGGGTTATGGGCCCAGCACGCTTCCGCAGCGCCACTCTGCTGATGGTAAAGATGACAAGACTCAATCACAGAGCTCTTTGTGCAAGAAACTGACGTCATAGCTATCAGACTACTGGGAATCTACATGCTGAAATCGCTGCATTGTTCACTCTGTTAAATAATTTAAATAATGTTGTGAAATGTCCACAGTAAATGCATTAACAAACTATCAATGATAAATCCATTTTGAAAACTCATTTAAAAACAGGTAATAAGAGTTATGTGTTTCCTCTGTTTAAGAAAATGCCTGATCTCCTACATTTTCAGTATGCTTGTTGGTTTTCAAAAAATTTTTTATGTTGCTAGAAGTATATCGGTTAGCAGAGGGTGGTTTCAATCCCATCGTCCTCTGGGTTATGGGCCCAGCACGCTTCCGCTGCGCCACTCTGCTGATGGTAAAGATGACAAGACTCAATCACAGAGCTCTTTGTGCAAGAAACTGACGTCATAGCTATCAGACTACTGGGACTACATGCCGATATCGCTGCATTGTTCTTTCTGTTAGATAATTTAAATAATGTTGTGAAATGTCCACAGTAAATGCATTAACAAACTATCAATGATAAATCCATTTTGAAAACTCATTTAAAAACAGGTAATAAGAGTTATGTGTTTCCTCTGTTTAAGAAAAAGCCTGAACTCCAACATTTTTGTATGTTGTTGGTTTTCAGTAGAAGAAGACTGCTCCAAAATCGTTTTATGTTGGTGGTTTTCGGTTAGCAGAGGATGGTTTCGATCCATCGTCCTCTGGGTTATGGGCCCAGCACGCTTCCGCTGCGCCACTCTGCTGATGGTAAAGATGCCAAGACTCAATCACAGAGCTCTTTGTGCAAGAAACTGACGTCATAGCTATCAGACTACTGGGAATACATGCCGAAATCGCTGCATTGTTCTTTCTGTTAGATAATTTAAATAATGTTGTGAAATGTCCACAGTAAATGCATTAACAAACTATCAATGATAAATCCATTTTGAAAACTCATTTAAAAACAGGTAATAAGAGTTATGTGTTTCCTCTGTTTAAGAAAAAGCCTGAACTCCTACATTTTTGTATGTTGTTGGATTTCAGTTGCTACAAGTAGAAGAAGACTGAACTCCTAAATCTTTTGATGTTGGTGGTTTTCGGTTGCTAGAAGTATATCGCCTTCGCAGAGCGTGGTTTCAATCCACAGTCCTCTGGGTTATGGGCCCAGCACGCTCCGCTGCGCCACTCTGCTGATGGTAAAGATGACAAGACTCAATCACAGAGCTCTTTGTGCAAGAAACTGACGTCATAGCTATCAGACTACTGGGAATACATGCTGAAATCGCTGCATTGTTCTTTCTGTTAGATAATTTAAATAATGTTGTGAAATGTCCACAGTAAATGCATTAACAAACTATCAATGATAAATCCATTTTGAAAACTCATTTAAAAACAGGTAATAAGAGTTATGTGTTTCCTCTGTTTAAGAAAATGCCTGAACTCCAACATTTTCGTATGGTGTTGGTTT